TTTTTAATTGATGTTCCAAATCGAATTTACGTTTATGGGTCCTTTTTTTCCACATACTTCAAAACTCTGCTTGAAGGACTTCTATTTAACATTGTGTTTTTGCTCAGCTGAAATGGCGGAATTCCTGATAAAAGATACCACTGCTGCTGCACATCTTCCTTAGTACCCGCGTCTGAGAGCAAAATTAATTCTTTTCCCACCCACAAATTTAGCTATAACATTATTAAATCTTTCGACCGTGTTGGTATCAACATTTTCAATCAAACTTCTTGATTTCCCAGCCACAGTTGCAACAATGGCATTCAGTATAAATAAAAATGTACTATTCCGTATTTGCCTAATGTCACCTTTTACTCCATCATGCTCACAGTCGTAATCATGGCACATTCTATGATCTCCGTAACCGTGTTCAACTGAATATCTTTATGAGGTACCGAGACTGCATCGTTTTTCGGAACATCAGACTGGTGGTGATATTTTTTCGACCGAATAATTAATTTTGTCGTAGCCATTATTTATTGGTTCGTTAAAGTTTTTCTATGCAACTAGAAAATTTTTGTCTCTTTGGCAAGGTTCCGCTTCTTTTTACAAAAATTTCGTAAAATATGATTGGGAAATTCTATTTTGTCAACAGTCAAATTCAGTGTTTTTCCTTGTGTCCTTTAAATTTTAGCATATGATGAACAGTCACCATCTGCTATAAGTCTTTGGTATATTATTCCGTACATAGAAATAGATGCAATTATATCTGCTTCCATAGAGGGAGATGACCATCAAAGTTTTTGTAGCATTAATGTTCTGGAGGCGTTATGTTATTTTTACTAGACTGGCTACAAACCAAACAGTATTTATTTTTTACACCCATGTACAAGACCGCACCTGTTTTTCTGCCAATAATAGCAGCAGCGCCAGAAAGGGCCTTAAAATTGGTGCCTTAAGAGCGCGCACTCCATGTTCCATCGGCATACACATCGTCACTGGATATCCACCTTTAGTTAGACTTTCGGATACGGCTATTTCTCTCTCCTTATCAATAGATAGCAGTAATACTGCTTGCATAGTATCAGCTGCTGTCTGTTCCCAATGTTCATATACCTTGTTTTGCAATTGTCCGTATGTATCTATCGAAAAGACGTGTATGTCTATTGCAGAAAATAATTCTTCAAACTGCTCGATGCCTGCTGCCACGATTCCAGTTGTAGCCGCTAAGTTTATGCCCAAAGACTTTTCCTCTTTCACATCATCATTATTTTCTGAAGAAATGGTTACGATTTCTTGACATTGGTCGACGATTGGTCGATGAAGGACCTCATGAAAGGTAACCTTACCTTATGTCATAAGCGTAAGCTCATGGACATGTGCATCCTCCCCATTATCACATATGGTGCACAAACTTGGTCTTTGACTGGACAGCAGAGGTTCGCGCTGAAGGTTTGCCTGCGAGCCATGGAGCGTAGTATTCTGGGCGTACAGCTTACAGACCGAATAAGAAATACTACGCTCCAAAACACAAATAGCAGATGTCACTCACAAAGCCGCTGCACTCAAATGGGACTGGGCCAGAAACGTTTGCCGCATGCCGACAGATCTATGGGCAAAAATTAGCACCACTTGGGTCCCAAAAGGCGCTAAACGACAACGTAGTAGGCCCAGGCGACGATGGCGAGACGATCTCGACGGTTTCCAAAAAGACTGGTCCGAACTAGCATACGACAGAGACATGTGGAAGGGAGAGAGGGAGGCCTTTGCCCTGCAGTGGGACAATACAGGCTAAAAATAAATAAATAAAATAATAGATAGGTACGTGTTGAATTGCCGTCCCAAGTGTTTATATGCAGGATGAAATTGGGTCATGTCGTGACTTTGTTACTGTACAGAGGCATTTTACTCCTACTTTTAAGAATTTTTTTCTTAGAAATAGGACTTAACAATTAAAACCTTTCCAAACAAACTTGATCAAAAGAGAACTCACTAAACAAGAGTCTCAGATGTACTGGGTATTTCAAGAGAATCTTGAATTTCTGGGACAAAGTTTTGCAATGTCGCATATTGAATGTTTTCTTGTTCACTCAAAATAGTGTCATTGTTTAGATTTCACACGACAAAACTAAAAAAAAACAGTTATTCCATTTATATAAACACAAAAACTGACGTAGTATTATGATCAATAGAAATTGATTTCTATAGGGTCTCAACTACGCCTGTGAATATGCTTTATCTCCTCGAAGTGCAGCAAAATAACAATAAATAAACTCATATTACTGTTGAATTCCACATAATTAAAATGTGCCTGACTATACCAAAATTAGAGATTTCTAATAACATTTTCTGATTACCTTCTTTCTATACTACCAATGAATACTGTTTATTTACCGTACTCACATGCATACTGATTTTTTTAGACTGTAGCGCAGTGAAACTGATGTGTTTGTAAAATTTTACTATTTTTGTGTTTTATAAAAATTGTCGACGTAAATAATTTACCATAAAACAAACAAATATTTAGGTAGAGGTTGTTTAATTATTTATATAAATAATTATTTCTTAGTAAATTTATAATCTAGTGTTACAAAGACGCGTTAAAAACATTAAAATAATTTCATAACTGTAAGTAATGTAGTGAAAATTACTACTAATAAATAAAAATAAATGAAGACGTTACTCGACATTTATAAGTATTCTGTTGAAGCTTTGTGAAAACGAATTTTACGTATTTACGCGGGGGAATTTCACGGAGCAAAATGACGTGCGTCCGACCTCAAACAAGGCTCAGTGAGCTCTGACAGGCGAACTTCGCCGCCGTATGCAAGCGCAAAAACATATTTATTGGTTCTTTTTTTTATAAGTACAACTATGTAAAAATGTATCCTTACAAATCCCTAGAAAAAAATAAGCTCTATTTTTTTGGTATAATTTTTACGTGAATCCATGGTGGCATTTTACAACAATTTCTATTTGAAATCGTGAGTTAGTGCTATGTTTGTGATTTTTTTTTATCGAGCCAAATTCCATAAATCATGTTTCCATCCTTACAGATCTTTAGATTATATGTTTAATTTAAAAAAAAAATATTTTTATGCACAATAAATGCATATTAGGGTATTTATTTCTCTTCAAAAAAGTGCAAAATCGCTGCAACCTCGCCTTAAACCACTACGCCATCCGTGCAGTCAAAGTGCAAACACGATATGCTTGTATGAACCATATTTAAAAGGGGTACAAAGAAACTTCTTATCGTATTTAAATATTGATACACATTGATACAATAAAAATAATTTAAATTCTCAGAACCATTGATATTTGTCATTTATTTTAAAGTTAGAAAGGAGGTTTTGGCCTACTATACCACGCTGGCCAGACGGGTATTAACCTCCTTTCTTAGGAGAGGCCTATGTCCAGCAGTGGACTACTGTAGGCTGTTGATGTGATGTGTGATGATGATTTTAAAGTTATTGACATGCTACTTGTATGGTTATTTTTTTTTTTGTAAATCATTTAATCATAAAAAAGTACATACGACTACATAAGTTCCTCGCCAAGCTGCACAGCTTCTTGGAGAGATACGCTCGTTAACAATTTAAATTACATAATTATAAACTCCTTAAAATTACATTATATATATTAGTGCTTCTAAGTAGCACATAAGTTCTATGTACAAGCACCGAAAAAGTTTTCGTACATTGCTATAGTATTGAAGTTGGTTAACGTAAATATTTTTGTATCAATCTCACTGTGTTTATGACACACGGAAGAGATACTTTATCGTCCAGGGTCATGAGCGTTTTGTGACACATAAAATAAAAAAATTAAGAAATAGAATTCTGCCATCATCACCAGCCTTTAGTAGTCCACTGCTGGACTTAGGCATTTCGTTAGAAAGCAGGTTTTTTTAAGGTCTACTAGTAACCGAAATTACTAGTATTCCCGTTAACCCCTCCCGCTAAGCTAAATTGCTTGTGTTAGGAGTGGGTTCACGTCGGTAGTGTACTGGTCAGGATTTGAACCCACGACCTCTTGATCGCAACGCCTTAACCACTAGGCTGGCGCCGCTTATATTTTGGCCTACTATACCACACTGGCCAGACGGGTTTGTATATAAATGAGTTTGAAAGCACATAATATAAATTTAGTTTGTAAACGTACTGTATTCTTATCCTGATAATCAACACTGATGACCCCAAAATGTTATTGAACAAATAATTAAACACCACTTTTGGTAGAACATTTTTATACAATTGAAAGTCATTATACTCAAAATATCATTAGAGCCGAGCTTCAGTAACATGATTGTACTTAAGCGTTAATGATACACAAATTTATAATTTAATTTTTTTTAATGATATTTGCTCATAAGCAAATCTGCATAATTTTAAATCATTAATTTACTAATATTATAAAATTGATTGAAAATAAGTGTAAGATGGATGGGTTTTAAATGTTTAGCTGAATGTGTATAAGATTGAGACTTGGTACACAGATATTTTTGACCGTAATTAACACATGATATTATACTCTTGGTCGGCATAAATGAGAGTCCCAGGCTCTCCCTACAGGCTGAAATGTATGAGAAATTAATACCGCTAAACCGGTTTAAATGAAATTTGGTATGAAGATACTTTAATTCTTGAGAAAAGGCATGGGCGTAAATACGACATTTACGCGGGCGGAGCTAGTATATTTATAAATTAAAAACTGTACCCTGCCACCCTTCGCTATGTGACATTGTGGTCGCAATGATAAAAAATGTTGCACAAAACTTACTCGAAAAATGGACAAAAACAATCTTGGAAGCGGTTTGTATAAAGCGTGTCAAAATTTGAATTTTTGAATTTAGAACTTTTTAGAGTTTTTGAGGCGTACACAAATCAACTTAAAATAAAATTTATATTATAGATTTTTAGATTATTTATAGATTTATCATTTAAATTTAATCATAAATAGATATAGTTTTAAAGTTAAAAGTCGTCAGTAGAATAAATTAAATATAAAATAAAACACACCTGTAAAATTTTAGCTCGTTCGGTCACAGATCTGTCCCATCCAACAACAGTGAAAAATCTCCGTCCAGTCACTGATTTTATGACACTTTTATTTAAACGAAACATTTTACAGTCTAAAAGCTAGCACTTTCTATGAAGATACTGATGAAATAATTTATTCAGCACATTACAATACCACCGCAGACGAATAGTTCATGCCGTCTGTGGATAATGTTCTGAATTATCATTAAGATGATAACAACAAACGTTATATTGAGAAGACAAACAATGCATTACTGTGATTAGCTTGACTAGTAAATTACGGAAAAGAGTGCGTTACTAGTAATTACAGTCATTACAGAAAAAAAATGTATTAATATTAAACTAACCTTTCATGTTATAAAATCGATGTATGTACATAAATTACGTCACACGTTACGTTGAGAGGGGAAGGGGGGGGGATTAAATTATTTAATTAAGCATTAAAATTTGAGACTCGGAAAAAGAATTGTGAGACTGATGTTCTGCTAGTAGTACCTTAGAATTATCATGATCACCGAGTATGTCATTGACAAACTTGAGATGCAAATTTAAAATAAAAGTAATTGAGAAAAAATACAGACGAATTGAGAACCTCCTCGTTTGTGTTTTGTAAGTCGGTTAAAAAGAAAACATACTGTCGAATTAAAAACCCTCCTTTTTTGATGTTGGTTAAAAATCGACTAACATGAAGCTCCTAGTCGAGACGAATCAAATGAGCACAAACACGGCGGAATTGCTTTATTTTATTACAGAGTTCCCATGGCTATTTACCGTCTCCATCATCAGACCCTGAATATCACATAGGATCGGAGTCCTTATTAATTAGACTCAAACACATTCAAATTCGATGGTATTACATAATTTTGTTACAGAGATCCCATACTCCTAAACCATTCATCATCAGCTTCATCATCAGCTCAGCAACATCAGATGGTGACCATTAGATGCAAAAATCTGCATAGATTAAGATAATTTCTGATAAACAGTGTATATGCCTACAAAATTTGAGGGTTTCCCTCGATTTCCCCAGGATCCCATCATCAGATCCTGACCTGGTGACAATGGGACCACCTCTGACGTATGACCTACCAAATGAAAAAAGAATTATTCAAATCGGTTTATAATTGCCGGAGTAATCGCGTAACAAATATACAAAAAAAAAATACAGTCGAATTGAGAACCTCCTCCTTTTTTTGAAGTCGGTTAAAAATATGTATGTACATAGTTAAATCGTAAGATCTAAATTTACAGGTTTCTACGTCACAGTTACGAGAGGTTAAAACGTCTTGAATAGGTTTGGCACAGAACAAGCAACACTGCGCTTTTATTTTGTTTTTCGCTACACTTTCGAAAGCTACCGTGCCTTCAGATAAACAAATAAAGTGGTTGTAAGTGGCATGTAGGATAATAACTTAGTTTTGTTTCAGTAACAGTTTTCAAAAACTTGTCCGTAGAATGTAGGCACCTGTTAAAACTTCCTAAGTGGTTTTCTTCAGTCAAATATTTCACTACGTTAGTGAACGAGGAAAAAACGTCAAATTCGTGATTGAAATCTGTATTTACGAGTACTTATTGTGTCGTATTCTAATCATACTTTCGAGGTTTTACAATTTATTTTTACGTAATAATATTTAATATATCCCAAATGTTAATCCAATAAAGTTTAGGCTTTACCTTTAAAATTGTATATATTGTATTTGTTTGTGGTTTTATTTAAATATGATCCAAATAAAATATTATTGTTCAATCCAAGTAATGGCATCATAAAAACACACCAAAGGGAAAATTTAATTTCGGCCTCTCAACTGTATTGAGCAGGTGGCATTAATTTGTATTAATAATTGTGAAAATATTTGTAGAATGGAAAATATATCGTAATATATTTTATAAGTATGCATCTTTTTGACTGAGCTTACAAATAATATTATTATTATTATTCGTAGGACTCAGCCCCAGATCTACGATTTTATTGAACCGGGTAAGAAACTTGATAGTGGCGCACTTCTCTGCGGCGTTTCAGAAAAACTCACAAATATAATGTTCACTTGTAGTATGGGCCTGTGTGGCGTCTTTTTCTCACAAGTCGACAGTGAGCCAACCAGGCTTCCGTATGCTAGGCGTTTAGTGAAGCAAGTTTTTTATTTTTAATCATATTATATTATGCGGGGCAGGTGCCCGGTGTGCCTCCCACTAGATCCGGGGCTGGTAGAACTTATCCTTTTTTAGTATAATTATATTATTGAGTTGCTGTTAGTAGCTTAGATAAAGTAGCTGTAGATTGTTGTAGTGAATGGTTTACGTCACACCGAGTTTTGTGGATTCGATTACCACAAGGGACAACATCTTGTGCGATCCACGAATAGTTATCCCGAGTATTTATTTTATTCGGGTTGTTTTGTTTGTAACGTTAGGTTAGCGACTAATTTCAGTTATGTCGAACTTCTTATTGAAGTTGTAAAAAATATTCAACAAGAAGCTCCAAGTTGATAATGAAGATGAACAGAAGTCTCCTCCGACGAAAACGCGTCGGCATTATCAGCTGTGCACCATTTAAAGCGCGTTATTTTTCTTTCTTTTAGTTTATTGGTGTTGCAATTATTTCATTAGTAATTTAAAAACCTTATATAAAACCAAAATACGTTCTTTAAAATATGAAAATTAGTTTTTAGTGTGTGCACAAATAGATAACAAGTTATTACTGCTTAGCCCCCTTTCTCTCTCTTTTTTGATGTGTCCGACAGTGCCATCAAGAAAGAGACACCACTGAGACAGTTCTGTATTTTTTACATTTTTAAGACTATTACAGTACATTATGGAATGCAATAAATGATTGAGTATGGAGTATTGCTTTAAGTAAATAATTGTAACTCAAACTATTTCATTTAAAAATAACATACCTTAAAAACCACTTTATAAATATAAAATTCATTACTTAATTTAAAAAAGTATTTAAATACGAGTGAAAAGGGCGTAATCTAAGGCGGATAACGCAGTGACACAGTGGTTCAGGTTCGTCTGGACAAGTAGGTTGGACACTTGGTCCATTACTGGGCCATCTCTACAACCTCCTCCATGGGCGACGACGACGACGCACAAACGACATCGGAGGCAGCCTGGGTCGACTAGAATTGCAGGGAGGCTTGCAGCTCCCTTGCCCCATCTGGTGATTGGCGGGCTTGTTACCTGCCGCACACGCTGAGCAGTGAGAGCATTCCGATGCCCTGTGCCCCGGTCGACCACAGCAGAAACATAGTCCGCTGCAGTCAAACCTACTTTCATACTTGACGCGTGTGTGTTCTGACGCTAGGCATTTGAACACCTCATCGGTCTTGCCGCCAGGACTGTGATCCTAGCGTTCACAAAACCGACGAGGAGCTTACCACCGTCGCTCAAAACTTTGGCCGACGCTACGGGACAGCTGACCCTCACAGCGACAAGCCCTCCTGGACCAGGGTGGATGGTGCTGACCAGGATGTTTGTCACGTTGCATCACGTCTTTCCATAAATAGCAACGCGGACATCCTCGGTCGTGACGGATACGTCCAGGCCCAAGATTCGCAGTTGTACATATTTGGTAAGCCTGGCGATCTTAACAGCATCCGTGCAAACTACCTTGTTTATGATGGCTATATCTACGTTCGCCCTCTCCTTCATGGAGTGTGTTTGGTTTATAGAACCCTCTACCGTCGGCTCCTAAATTTTGTGCAGGAGATCCACGATCTCCTAATCCACTAAATTTTCGCCCTCAATCCTGACTCTCCTATGGGCCTTGGAAAAGACGGAGACTGAAGGAGCCGAGATCACAGTGCGCGACCTCCCTCTGCGACTACTAGCCACTTTGGGAGGCAGCCACTCCTGGGACGATTTTTTCCCTATCGAACATAACACACAAAAGGGAAATATTTATTTTCACTCTTTATTATTTGCCAACTGCTCTAATTTACTTCTGATTAATTTCGTTGCGGGTTCCAAGACAGTTTAACTGTTACCTGTGACTGTCGAGTATCATAACGCGGTGTGTTCGTGGGTCACTGCTGTTGATTCTGGTGTACAGAAGTTACAGTAGTGGGCGTGTGAGAGGGATTAGTCACTCTCGGTCTCTTTAAAATCGTCTTAAATGGATTTTACTGTATATGACATAAAGTCCACATTGCCAAAATCTGTATAAGTGTATTTGTCTATCTTATACCTATAGTTACTTATAGCACAACTCCGATTGTGACACAAAGTATATAGTAAAGTAACCACCACAGCCGCGGTTTTAGGCGCCTGCAGTTTCCGCGGCTTCTTCTTGGTGGCCTCTGCCACCGATGGTGACAGCGGTGTAGAGGCTGCTTTCTGGGCAGCCTTCTTACCCCGCTTTCGGGACTTCTTGTCCCTCCGACTACCTGCCACCCATCGTTTGAGAAGGCTGACGTAGAGGGGACAGGTGTCGTGGAGAGGGGGAAACGGAGGGAATTCTGCCTCGATCTAAGGCCCAGCCTTCGGTGCGACCGTCTTTGCCGCTGCCGCTGGTCCTGCCTTCTAAGCAACCGCAGAGATGGATGTCGACGCCGCGTAAGACAGACGGCCACTCGTAACAGGCAGCAGAGTCAGCGCTTACGCGGTCCCCAGCCTATCCGAAGCAAGCGACGGCGGAACAACGAGGGCCCGGAGGCAGTCTCCCCTCCAGGTCCGTCCAGCATGCGCCCCACTGCATCTAGAATTTGGCGCAGGTTGACACAGGGACGTCACCGGAACCGGGAGTGGAGGCAGGCTGCCGCAGAGCTGGGCCCCGCTGCTCAGGGCCCTCCACCTGCGCCCTAAATAGGGTGAATTGAGCGCTCAGCTCAGCCATCTGCCCCGTCAGGCGGTCATTAGCAACCTGAAGGCGTGACATGTCCCCAATGAGGGTTGAGACAACCCCGGCAATGGCGGAGGAGGGGTCCTGACCCTTGTTATGATGTTACCTTGTTTATGATGGCTATATCTATGTTCGCCCTCTCCTTCATGGACGCCGGTGTTTGGTTTATAGAACCCTCTACCGTCGGCTTCTGAATTTTGTGCAGGAGAACCGCGATCTCCTAATCCACAAAATGTTCGCC